CCCTGGTGCCCCCAAGGACCCCGGTGTCCCCAAGGGCGGTGGTGTCCCCAAAGGCTGTTGTGTCCCCAAGGGCTGTGGTGTCCCCAAGGGCCATGGTGTCCCCAGGGGCTGTGGTGTCCCCAAAGGCTGTGGTGTCCCCAAGGGCTGTGGTGTCCCCAAGGACCTCGGTGTCCCCAAGGGCCATTGTGACCCCAGGGGCTGTGATGTCCCCAAGGACGCCGGTGTCCCCAAGAAATGTGTTGTCCCCAAGGGTTGTGGTGTCCCCAAGGGCTGTGGTGTCCCCAAGGGCCACAATGTCCCCGAAAGCCCTGGTGTCCCTAGAGGCCATGGTGTCCCCAAGGACCTCAGTGTCCCCAAGTGTGGTGGTGTCCCCAAAGGCTGTGGTATCCCCAAGGACCCCAGTGTCCCCAAGGGCCATGGTGTCCCCAGGGGCTGTGTTGTCCCGGAGGACCCCAGTGTCCCCAAAGGCCATGGTGTCCCAAAGGACCCTGGTGACCCCAAAAGCCGTGGTGTCCCCAAGGACCTCGGTGTTCCCAAGGGCCATTGTGTCCCCAAGGACCCTGGTGTCCCTAAAGGCCATGGTGTCCCCAGGGGCTGTGATGTCCCCAAGGGCCCCGGTGTCCCCAAGGACCTCGGTGTCCCCAAGGGCCATAATGTCCCCAAGGGCCCCAGTGTCCCCAAGGACCGCGGTGTCCCCAGGGGCTGTGATGTCCCCAAGGACCCCAGTGTCCCCAAGAAACGGGGTGTCGCCATGGTGTCCCAAAGGACCCTGCTGTCACCAAGGGCCGTGGTGTCCCCAAGGACCTCGGTGTCCCCAAGGGCCATTGTGACCCCAGGGGCTGTGATGTCCCCAAGGACGCCGGTGTCCCCAAGAAATGTGTTGTCCCCAAGGGTTGTGGTGTCCCCAAGGGCTGTGGTGTCCCCAAGGGCCACAATGTCCCCGAAAGCCCTGGTGTCCCTAGAGGCCATGGTGTCCCCAAGGACCTCAGTGTCCCCAAGTGTGGTGGTGTCCCCAAAGGCTGTGGTATCCCCAAGGACCCCAGTGTCCCCAAGGGCCATGGTGTCCCCAGGGGCTGTGTTGTCCCGGAGGACCCCAGTGTCCCCAAAGGCCATGGTGTCCCAAAGGACCCTGGTGTCCCCAAAGGCCGTGGTGTCCCCAAGGACCTCTATGTCCCCAAGGGCTGTGGTGTCCCCAAAGGC